TGTAGCTGGGAGAACCAGGGGAACTAAGGGAGAGCCTTTAGAGAAGGATCCCACGGAGCTGCGGCACAGAGCCCTGGGCCGGACACCAGTGGTAGGTGCTGGTATCTCTATGAGGGCGTGACGAGGCTGGTTCTCCGAGTGTTGGGAAAACTGTAGTCTGGATCCAGCTGATGCTCCTGGAAGGTACCTCAGGTGTTACCAGGAGATGTCTTGCTGGGGTGATGCTTACAGAAATCTCAAGCAAACAAGAAAAGCTCACGGAGGAAACAGCTTTCTCCCTGGAGCGGCAGACAGGTGCGGACAGGATTAAGCCTTCTCTGTCCTCCAGCCTCGCAGCCTCCCCCTGGTGCTGCCCACCTGAAGAAAGCCACAGGGAGCCCGCAAAGCACAAGTACAGTTTGCAGAGTATCACAAAGTATCGCGAAGTGGAGTGTTAAGATGTGTTTGGAGCTGAGAGACAATGAACTTAATCGTTGACACACATGTTCAGAGCGGCCATCGCCAAGTACCAAGAGCTTTGGATGTCAAGCCGGTCTGATATCCCAGGACTGCAGGTTCAGGGCTTTGGACTCTAAAAGAAGCAAGGAATTATGATGGAATCTTTGTAAAAGGTTAGAGTCTGAATGGGCATTATACCACACAGAGAGAAGTATGTACTTGACTGGACAGTTGATCCAGTGTTGCTTGTTATGGTCATCATTTTAGTAAAATGAGCAAATATTATATGTAACTGTTTTAATAAAGACTACTGGTTTGACATTTACTGGAATGACTAGAAAGTTAATGGCTCTGGATTTTATATTGCCAGTGTCGTTCCAATGAAAGCCCATACTAAGGCATCTGATGGGAGATGACCCTAAATGAAGGCACAATGTCCAAGGAGATTGGTCAACTAAGTATATGGAACAATCACCAAATGACTTACTCAAACATCCTGTTTCTTACATGAGGAATCTTGCCCTCAGAAGATATTACTGCCTGGAATTGTAGATAAGAAGGTGACTGTAGGAGAGGGATGCCCACTATTTATAATAAGAGCCCTGATTCTAATTGTCTTTCTATGGGTTTCTTTATAACACAGAATCTGAAGTTTTTGGCTCCCAACTTGAAACTCTAATTCCTCATAAAAAGCTCCAGAAAAGTTGGTTTCATTGGTTTCTAACAAACCCAACTCCTGTCCTGAGTTTCCTACTGTAAATCACCTTTATCCCCCACCATTTTTTAAAAAGATTTTTTTTATTTATTTATTTATTTATTTATTTATTTATTTGAGAGAGAGAGAGAGCATGAGCAGGGGGAGGGGCAGAGGGAGAAGCAGACTCGCCCCTGAGCAGGGAGCCAGAGGATGTGGGCCTCAATCCCAGAACCCTGAGATCATGACCTGAGCCAAAGGCAGATGCTTAACTGACCGAGCCACCCAGGTGCCCTTTCCCCCACCATTTAAGCTCATGTTCTAGTCTGACCCCTCTCTCTTCTGACATACACCTTTCTCTGTAAATGGGGAGACATCCCACCTGCCCCTTGCCTCATACTGCCCAGGAATAAGCTATCTGCAAATGATCTCAAAAGATTGTCCTTTAAGAAAGTTTTCTTAACGTCCTAGTTTTCTATGCTCATGTGTAACTGTGTCTCAGAAACACATGGAAGGAATAAGATATTTGTCTGATTGGAACTGGATAGCTCAGGAAATCTGTTCAGCATAAATAGTAAATGGCTCTTAATCTTGATTTGGGAAATGTTACCCCATTTGCTATGATTAGCGTGTGCTGTGGTGGGACCTGCCTGACATTCTTCTTTGCATAGTTATACAGCTCCAAATGTCAAACAATTTCCTCTTCAGTCCGATTTGTGACACAAGAATAAATAAATGTCAAATGATTTTAAAGAGGGAAGAAATGATACTCGAAAATGACTTGGGTTGAAATCCTTTGCCACCACAAGGGAAGATTTTAGGAATCATTTCAGAAAGACCAAAGGTGCTGAGTAAAATAGGAAGAGAAAGAAAGACACCAAAAGTATTTTGGATCACAGATGGACTCCTTTTATGATGTAGCAGGAGAATAGAGCCTAGGAGCTCCATAACTTCACCCTTGCCTGACTCCTTTAAATATCTGAAAAGTTGAGATCTTCCAGAATCAACCAGAAAGGAGGAGTCTCCAACCTCTTGAGAGAGTCCATTGGGGGTCAGAGGGAGTCTGTGATTGTTCTATGTGGGTTGGTCTTTGTTAAAGGGCTTGCCATGGGTTCCCTCTATAGGCGGTGCATCAGGATCATTTCAGTGTAGGTAACTGAATACAGAACTGTTTATTTCAGTAAGCAGGGTAACAGGACTCAAGGGCTGAAAAATGTGTATTCATAACTGATCTATGATCTCCATTTCCCCCCTTCATCAGGTTAACCTCTTCGAATTCTAGTACCACAGCTCCTTGTGTTGCTTATGGTGTTGTGTTTAAGATTTCTTGGATTCAAGTCCTAACTTCTCCACAGAGTGATCCTCCCAGGACCTCAGTCTCCCCTCCACCCCCAGAGAATTGGGATGAACCAGGGTTTATCAAAATTCAGGGAGTTCATTCTTGTAAAGCCCCAAGAGTCTGTCCCATGGTGGGTAAATACTCCAGGGATGCTGGCTGTGGTTTCTGTCATATGACCTCTGCTTATCTACTACTATTTTGAAGGAACAGACATGTCTACTTACCCATTAATCATCCCCGTTTCCTACTGATGGTTATTTGCATAACCAGCACCACCTGCGCTCTCGTTCTCTCACTAGCAAGAAGGATGATTTGTTAAACTATGGAGCTATTTGTGTTTTGCGTAAATAGCTTGGCAACAACCACCGTCCCTTTCACCTGTACATTTCTTGTTGCGGGACATGATTATTCTTGTGTGGTTAATGTCATGCCAAGAGCCTGTGAAAAGCTAGAATGTAAGCTCCATGAGGGCAGGAACCAAATGGGTCTGCTCTACCACTGTGTCTCCTGTCCCTAGGACAGGGCCTCGCGCGTGGTAGACACTCAGTAAACACTCAATGAACAGGCACATGAAGGAAGGGAGGAACTTTGTCACAACCATTCTTCTGTGGGTAGAGCGTGAGTTGCCTCAGAGAGGAAGGAGATTCACTGTGTCTGTTAAAACTGATCTGAATCTGTCAGTCACGGGAGGGAGAGGTCTTTCCCTCAGACCTAGAACGAGCTCCCGGTGACTGGAGCCCTGGTAGGCAACAGAGCCAGCACACCCTTCTCCTCACTGAGGAGAACACATGATGGGGTAAGAAAGCACCCCGGTGTGGACACAGGTGGGGCTGAGAGGGAAGTGGGCCAGGCAAGGAGCCAGGAAATATTTCTCAGCTCTTTGGGACTCTAACTCAAGTGGTTATTGAAGGGTCCAAGACTTCTGTTTTGGAGACTTGCCTGTGTTAAGGCTGTTTGTTGTTTTTCTGGAATTCTTTATTTCTTGCTCCTCCTCAGCTTCACTCGGCCAGTACTAGGAACAGTCCTCATGGAGGAGGGCAGTCAGTGGTCCGTCTCTTTCTGCCCCGTCTAATGTCTATAAGACACCACTATTGTCTTCATCTCAAATGCTGGTGAGAACCAACCTTTGGGGCCTATGTGTGCTGTAATTAAGCCAACCACTCTAGTGGACTCGATATGTGGAAAGGAGCCAAAACTTTCTCCACCATAAGCACCCCTTCGTTTCTCCAGTTGCATTGTTTTATGACAGTCATGCTAACATTTCTATAAAATGTCAAATGTGTGAATCACTTGTCTTGTCTTGGAATGGTTCTCCCTTCAACCCTCCATAGACTACCCCTCTCCCTTCCCTCCTTTTCTTCTCCTTTCCCTCCACTTTCCTCTCCTTTTTGGAATGGAGATGGGGTTTTGACTGCAGCTTTGTTATTTATCCCTCTCCACCAGCTCACCCCCCCTCCCCGAATTAGAATAGGCTAAAGAGTTTTCAAGAAGGACTTGCAGTCCCCTAGGCAATTCTCCCACTCAGCCTGGAAGGAACTCAAATGATTCTCAGCTCTGCCTGAGCTCTGATAATGATATGTTCCTCAGAAGTTGTTTTAGCTGGCCTCATGGGCTTCACACAGATTGTTACTCAGCTGACAACTCAAGGGAACCCCGATGAACCTTTCCAGAACTTTCTTTGTATAGTTCTCTACTCTGAGCACTGTGCACTGCAAATTCCAGCCACCTTGGCCTCCCCTATCTTCAGTCTTTGTTTCTTCACCTTAGTGAGATTCCTTGACTCGGGGCTCCCCTCAACTGTGCTGCAGTCAGACAGAGAGCCTAAGTCAGGGTAGGCTTACCTCACTTATTGCCTTTTCTCAAAGATCACAGTCTTCTGTTACATGTTGTCCAATGTTTGAAATTATATGTCTCAAGCAGTTTGGCCATTGTTCTGGTTATGACAGAGGGAAGATAATTATAGTCAGTACTCTTTCATTCCCAAGTAAGAACTCTGGAGATGTAAGGAAATAGATAGGTGTTCTTTCCTTGATCAAATAAAAATGCAGTTCTCTTATAAGCTGGGCCTTGATTTTTCTGTTGCCTGGGACCCTTTCCTTAGGTTACCTACTAAGGCTTGAGACGTCATGTTCCACCATGGTCTTGGCCTAGACTGTGTCTATTGTCCTCTAGAAGTATGAAGACAGCTTCTCTCTCTCTCTCTCTCTCTCTCTTTTTTAAGAGAACAACAGTGAGTGAGTGGGGGAAAGGGACAGAGGGAGAGGGAGAGAGAGAGAATCCCAAGCAGGCTCCATACTCAGAGCCGAGCCTGACAGGAGGCTTGATCTTACAACCCTGAGATCATGAACTGAGCTGAAACCAAGAGTCAGACGCTTAACCGACTGAGCCACCCAGGCGCCCTTGAAGGCAGCTTCTCATAAGGTGCCCATTCTACCAATCCCCAGTGAGAAATAATCAGACCATCCCGTCTTTACCAGTCCTTCCCACGCTTGCCAGAATTTCAGGAGAAAGAATGTGATGTAAAACTTGTTAGTGACATGTTCTTAGCTTTATTGAAATTCTTTCTTACAAAAGGTCTGATGTATTTTAGGCCAGGCCTAATTTCCTTTAGTCCCTGAAATCCAGGTCCATGGTTATTTCCATGTCCTCCTAAGTAAATATGTAAACTAGTAGACTTTTCGATTAAGGTTCAAACACTTATCATTGTGATTTTTATTTGATGTAAAACAAGACTTGTGTTTCCCCAAATGAAAAGACCAAATAAGAAAGTTTTGTGGGTCTTCATCAATGGGATAACTGGATTTTTTGCCAGAACTGACTTGGAATTTATTTCGTTCAATGTGACATCTTTCCACCTTCGGTATTTTCTTTTTTTAATGTAAACTTTGCAATGCTCTGAGCTATGTAGTAAAGAGTGCTATGTTTATATATGCATAATATACTGGTTCTGGAAAAAGATGCATGAGTACATGCGTGTAATGTAAACATAGCAATTGATCAGGAGAGTCTCCGATCATTAGGACATTAATGGATAATACGCATATTGTAAGCAAAAAACCACCAATAGCACATATTGGTTTAGTTGTCAGCCAGGAACTCTGCTGGTCCTATACCTGGATGGTCCCAGGTGTCACTTCCCCAGCCAAGCTGATGCTCACCCCATGTGGCAGGTATTTGTGTATCCAAGGCCTGACTCAGTCTATGACTCCCCAAGGGAGGTGAGTCTGTGCTCACTTACTACCATGCAGCTTCCCTAGTCCTAGAACACGACATATATGGCCTGTTTTGACCTCCTCCTCATGTCAAAAGCAGACTATGATCTCCCTGTCACCAGGAGAGGGGTGCAGACCAAGGACTGGCAGAGCCCCATGGCTCCTTCTTCTGCCAGACGTTATAGGGAATCCTCATTTCCCTACAGGATCCATCAGGACACATGTTCTGATCACAGGAGCACACCCAAAGAGTCCTGGAAAGTTCAATATCATCATCTCCAAACAGCTCCAAGACACAAGTAACTTGGCCTTAACCCTGACTGCCAGATGACTGAGTGTTGGTCTCAGTTTAACCCAGACAGCCCCCATGTCACCCTTCAAATCAGCTTTCCTCCTAGGTGGGTGGTTGGCCTGGAAGCCAGTCCGTGTCTGATCTTATACCCTGTAGGTTTGGAGTATGGAACCCTATAGTCCCACATGCCTTGCACCCAAGCTCCCTGCTCAAGCCTAGTAAAGACACACTAGGATTCAGGTAGAAACAATGGTTACTGTCATTCTCAGTGCCCGGTGAACAGGTCAGCTGAGTGCTACCTAAAGGTAAGGTCTTACCCCAGCTAACAAGCCTTGGGGGAATGCTGCAAAGTGGATAAATGAATTTAGCACCCAAGATACTATGTAGTACACAGGGTAGTCACTCTATGGATGTCAGTTTCACTGCCCTTCTCCAAAGCCAGGCTGTCTCTTGCAGGGGCTGTGCATTTCCCTCTCACTCCTACAGGGGGCCCATTCTCTATGTCACTTCCCTGGACTAAGGAATGGTGTACGGAGGCAGAGTAAAGAAGGAAGAACGAAATCATTTGGTATAGTCTCTTGCTGGGAAGGAAAATGTCAAAACTCTTGGCCTAACTAAGGGAATTCTCTGAAGAGTAAATGACCTGTCAGGCCTCCCTCCCAAATCCACCTGCTGCATTTCTCTCCAGCAGACTCTCAGCATTTAACCGACAGACCGAAGACGAGCATGGGTATCGAGTCCTGATGCATGGTGCTTGGAAGGCTGGGCAAAATGACGATCCAGTAGATCCCAGAGTTGTACTTTGGAGCTGATGCCCAAGAGGAGAATGATGACAGGCCACCATGGTCCTGGGACAGGGATATGTGGGCCGGGGGATGCCGGGCTGGGCAGGGCAGAGGCGATGCCCGCACCCCAGGAATGCAGGAAGGAGGCTCGGCAGCAGGGCCCCGGACCCTGGACCATGCCCACTTTCAGTGTCTGTTGCACGTCACCCCAGCATCCTCAGCGTGCCCGCAGTTTGTCACCCCCCATTTGGAGAAGCTGCAGCGGAAGATGGAATCTTCTGTACCCTTGCAGGCGACATCATCCATCCAAATCCTCCCTGTGCCTGTGGGGACAAGTCAACATGGTTCCTTAGCAGACATGCAGGAGAGCAGGACAGAAGACAAACAGAGCGTTGCCGTGTCTGTTCTTGACCAGGCTGTCCCGGACTCTGCTGGCAATTCTCAAATCTAGTGGTTCCCGCCTGCCCCCTCCACCGCCCACCAAGACCAAATGCTCATTTTCTAGGCTCAGTTTCTTGAGGCCAGGATAACAATAACTGTGGTGACGGCAGTATATATTGGTATCTCCTACATGTCAGACGTCTCACGTGTGTGATCTTCCTCCATCCTCATCATGGGGCTGTGAGATAGACATTACTACACCCATTTTATAGATGGAGGGCTGAGGCTCAGGACGCAATCAGTGCAAGGTTGCTCAGCTCTTAAGTGGCAGGGTGTGAACTCAAGATCAAGTTGTCATAGGCCCATGCTTTATATGCGACACCTCATGGCGTTTGAGATACAATCTCTTGCAGCCTTTGTTGCTGAGTACTCAAGCATGGGCTGATCTGAGGGACAATGTCCGATAGACCCTGGATGGGACAGATCCAGTGCCCCATAACCAAGTAGGTCAGTGCCAACATTACCTCCGATCTTTTGAAATTTAAAGCAGATGGTTCCATCCTACGAGCCCAAAATAGTGGTGCTAGAATGGCAGGGGACCCCCGAATTTAACATTATGGCCAAACATATATTTAATGACAGGCAGAAGCATCCCTAATCAGAGGTAATTAGATCAGTTCCCAAAGTATAAGGTCCCTAAGACAATCTATTGGAGTTTCTCCAGCAGCTAGTCCTGTTTACCCATATCTTAAGGGGACACGCCTGCTGGTCTGATAACTCGCTTTCATTGGCTTTCCCAGGAATGAAAAGAAACTTGGGAGATAGAAACTTGGCATTGAAGTTCTTCAATGAATGTCAGAGGACTAGGGCAGCTGGGTGAGGCTCCAGGAGGTAATAGAGAGGGCCTGTCTGGGGCCAGAGGGGCCAGTGGAGAGGGGAGTGGGCTACACCACAAGTCACCTGGAGCCCCCACTGATCAACTGGCAGGACCATCACTCATGGTTCTGCCATGTTCTCTGTGCTCACGGCCATGCCAGGCCCCAGATGATGGGAGCCCATTTGGGAGCCCTCTGGAAATGTGACTGAGCTTTAGGACACCCACAGAAGCAGTGGCTTAGAGCCTGGTTACTCCAAGTGTGGTCCTGGACCAGCAGCATCAGCATTACCCAGAGCTTATTAGAAATGCAGAACTTCGGGTCCCACCTAGGACTACTGAGCCAGAATCTACATTTTAACCAAGAGATTATGTGCTGCAGTTTGAGAAGCACCAATGGAGCAGAAGAAGTAGGGATTTACAATAAGTAGGACAGGCCTCGATTCAACTCCCAGCCCCATCCGGGGGACCATTTCAGTTTTAAAACTGGGAGGGGATTCCCAGGATGTGAGAATTTTGGTACTAAAACCAGGTACTTTCTGGATAAACCAGGATTGTTGGTCATTCCAGGACCCTAGCTTGTTAGGTCTATGAGCTGGCCCCAAAAAGCATGGGGTTAAAGGTCATAAACTAGCTGTGTCAACCTGGCAAGTCAGATGAGGCAATAAATTGTTCCTGATTTTTAAAGGACTTCGAAATCTACTAAAACCCTATAAAAAAGGTAGCTCAGGGATTGGCACCACGCCCTGACCCTAGCCCTGTCTCCCCCTCGTCCCATCTGTCAGCGTCCAGACAACTCCTTCAAGAGGAACTGTCGGGACAACTCTAAAAACCTTCAAATCGCCACTCACTCTTGAACCGCATGGGAGAATTCTCTTTACAAAGAACGTCCAGGAAACATTGAACCCTTTCTGCTGCCCACAAAGTCTACCACATGAGCTATGTGGCTCTAGACGTATTTTCGTTACACAGGGATTTTCAGCCTCTGTTGTCATGGGATGGCCGAGCAGTGAACGTGGGGACAGAGCTGGGAGGAGGAGAGGCCTCCTTCCCCTGTCTTGGCCTTTGCTTCTTCACAAGAGCCTCTTCCCTGGCCCGGAGACCCTGTGCATCTTACACAATAAGCCCTTTGAGGCCGAGCAATAATTTGCAGATTAAATGTCTCCTGGAAAACACATCAGTTTACAAATTACCCAGGAAAAGCCTGCAGGCCCAAGAGCTCTGGGGGATTAGTCACACCCAAAACAAATTAAGAAGCCAATAAGGGAAACTGACAAATACAGAACAGGCCCGAGGCAACCAGCTCAAATGCGTATATAGGCTCACGAAACTCCAAACTCTGGTGGGTGTTTTTGCCAGGAAGTTCTGGCTATTTTGCAGTCATGTAAGAGCTAATAAAATAAGAATTGGTTCATTAAATCAGCAGCGCTGGATAGCTACAGTCTTACAGCATTATGGGGCATTGCTGGGCGGCCAGTTAACCTGTGAACCAGCCCCACTGCTCGCCATGTCAGAGAGCCTGGAAATCCCACTCTATGCACCAATCATCACTTTAGCTTTAGAACTGACATCTGAGGACTCAAAGTGAGACCCCAAAACCAGGAGTGTCGGCATGACCCAGGAGCTCGTTAGAAATACGGAAGCCTTTGTCCGCCCAGACTTGAATCAGAATTTGCATTTTTAAGAAGATCTCCATGATTCTTATGCACATTCAGGTCTGAGGAGCCCTTCTCTCGATGAGGTCTGTACCTCCGCACAGCTATCTCTGCAAGCTCCCTAACAAAGCCCTGGGACAACGCAGGCTAGGGTGCTCTGCTCCCCACTGTTTGGATCAGAAAAAGGAAGCAATAGGGTGACATTTTATCTTGAGGGGGCAAAATTGGGACCAGAGGCCAGGTCTTCTGACACTCAGACACCAGGGGCCGCTTGAAGGTCATATTGTTGGGAATGAGTAAGTGGAGATTTTATTTTATCCTCCTCATTCATTCGTTCGTTCATTCATTCATTAACATATATTCGAGGGCCTATTCCATGCTCAGCGTTATGGTGGGTGTTTGGACTACATCAACGAACAAAAAAATAATGGAACAACAAGAAAAACCTCTGCCTCATGGAGCTAACATTTGAGCTTCTACATGTTTATTTGGAGTAATATTAATAGAAGGAATAAGTTACACTGAATCCTCCAGGCTCCCCTCAGAGCCTCACACACAGGTAATCAGGACAGCTTATCAAACAGATATTTAAGAGATGGGAAAACTCAGAAAGATTAAGTGACTTGCCCCATAACGACTAAGGGCAAGAGACTATGTCCCAGGCCTCTGACGTGCAGGCAGTCCGGGACTTGCGCCTTACAGGGACGCAGTGTACAGCATGAACACCAGGCCAGGGGTGGCAAACCATGGGCCGTGTCAGCCCACTGTGCTTTTGTAAATAAAATTTTATTGGAACACAGCCCCACTGGTTGACTATGTTTTGTCTATGGTTGCTTTTGTGCTACACAAGCAGAGTTGAGTAGTGAGAGAAACCATTGGCCCACAAAGCCTAAAATATTTACTACCTGGCCCTTTCATGTTTGCTGACATGTGCTCAAAGCCATCTCCCCATATTTGGATCTTATCGTAGAGGAGAAAGGCAAAAACTGGTCTTAATAATATGACTAGAAGTAAACACTCCCAATTCCATCCCTCGCACTCTCACCTACAAATCTAGCTGCATTTGTACCCATCCTCACCTCCTTTTGTCTGTCTGTCTCCTAGAGAGATCTTCCCTGCAGATCCAAGGCTACCTCCCAGCTGGGCTCCTTCTCGCCCTCTCTTCCTAGACCTCCTTCCACCCGTCACCAGCCATCTGCTCCAACTGCATTTCCTCCCTCTCCAACAGCTCTTGGACCCATTTAAAATTGAAAAACACCTTTAAGGGGCGCCTGGCTGGCTCAGTCATTAAGCGTCTGCCTTCGGCTCAGGTCACGATCCCAGGGTCCTGGGATGGAGCCCCACATCCCGGCTCCCTGCTTGGCAAGAAGCCTGCTTCTCCCTCTCCCATTCCCCCTTGTGTTCCTGCCCTCGCTCTCTCTCTCTCTGTCAAATAAATAAATTCTTCTAAAAAAAATTAAAAAAAGAAAAACACCTTTAAATCTCTCCCATTTGGCAATTTCTTTGCCTTTTTTTCCCCAGAGAAATGGATACTTTGATGATTGAGCCCTGTCCAGGGAAACTTTTATGGTGCCAGACCCCTAAGAGAACTACCAGGAATTGGAAGTCTCTTGTATTCTACCAGGGAGGACTCAGGTTAGTGAGCACAGAAGTTCCTTCCTTCTTTCCTTCCTCCCCTGTCCCCCCCCCAACATCAAGAGATTAACTGAAATACAACAATACAACTTTTCCCTTTGTCTCAATGTGAGCCACCCCCCTTCCTCCCTCCCTCTCACATTTAGCCGGTACCTATGAAGTCCTAGGCACAGCCCTGGGTTTTGGAGCTGGGAAGGTAAAGCCCTCAAGATGTTCACACTCGCATCAGAGCTCAGGAGAGCGTGAGAGGTGCCATGTTAGAGACACGATGCCAGGGGAGCTGGGAATGGGGTGGGGATGGAAGTCACCAGCAAAGCTCCCCTCAGGAGCTGATGATTGAGCTGACTTTAAAAGCTGACTAGGAATTAGCTAGATGAAGAAGGAGGGGAAGGCGTTCCAGACCGAACGTGGGAAGATACGGAAACGTGAAATAGCCATGGGAGCTCAGAGAACACAAGTATCCGCATGTGGCTGGAGGGTGAGAGAGAGGTGGGAGGCAGAGTAGGAGGGATCTCGTTTCAGAAAGAACTCTGGCAGCCATGAGGAGGGAGGTGACAGGAGCCAGGCTGGAGGTGAGGAAGAAGCTCATGGAGGGTCACAGCCACCCCTGCACCCACGTTCACTGGCACCCGACCTCCACCCAACGTAGAGCAGAGGAGTGAGCACACCAGGGCCTGCACTGTGCTTACTGCTTGACACACGTGATCTCATTTAGCAAATGCCACCATCCTTCAGAAGTGGGAGGGCTCAAGCTAGGGGAGGTGATAAAATCTGCTGTGCCAGGCCACCAGCTGGAAGTGGCAGATTTGAGATTCTAACTTGGGTTGGACCCACAGCCTGAGCTCCTAACCACCGCTCTACCCTGCCTGGGCTCCTAGGGCAAGAGCAGTGAGGACAAAGAGGAAGGGACAGAATCAAGGGACACCAGAGAGTAGACACTGGTGAAATCTGTGGGACCCAGGGACTGGCCAGATGAAGGGATGGGGAGAGGGAGAGAGCGGGATGGGGGACCGGGCCGGCGGTCCTGGCGGGCAGGGCAGGAAGCACATCCAGAGGGCACAGAGAGAGGCCAGGCCATGGAGGGAGGGGCCAGGGCTTGGGAGATTGAGCCTGGGAACCGGCAGACTGGGATCAGGAGTTGGGGCCCTAGTGGGGAAGAGGGCTGTGGTCAGAGGGGTGTCCCGATCTGAGGCACGGCCCTACCGCTGCCCCGAGAGGCCGCATCCCCTCCCCCCCTCGCCCCCATAGGCACCACAGCATAAGATTCAGTAAACACGCCTGCCTTTCCCTCTACACCGAAGCTGTTGAGGCTGGAGGAGAGGGTTACTCAACCCCGTGTCCCAGCACCGAGCCTAGGGCCCAGCGATGGGAGGGGCCTAGAAGCTGCTGAGGAAGCAGGCAGAGCAGCCTGGCTTCGGAACAGGGGCTCAGAAGAGCCTCGGCTGGGCCAGCCCCTTCTCTTACCTGCTGTGAGCCCCTTCATAACACCTGGCCGGCCTACCTGTCCAGGTCTCGAATATCACGTAAGATACTAGATGGGGACAGAGACCGGGAAATGACAGTGCAGATGTGATATGTACGGGGAAGGGAGTCCGGTTTTGCACTGACTGGTTTAAAGTGATGATTTCAGGGGCACCTGGGTGGCTCAGTCGGGTGAGCAGCCGACACTTGGTTTCGGCTCAGGTCCTGATCTCAGGGCTCTGAGATCGAGCCCTGCGTTGGGCTCCTTGCTCAGAGGGGAATCTGCTTGAGATTTTTTTTCTCTCTCTCTCCCTCTGCCCCTCCCCCCCAATAAATAAATAAATCTTTGAAAAAAAGAAGGGGCGATTTCAGAACTTCCCCACTTGTCACATGCTACAAAAATCAAGGGGGAATGAAAGAGGCCATGGAGTCTCAGTTTGGGACTAACACTGCCCGTGACATGCAAACGACTTGTTTCGGCTTCTCTAAAGGAGTTTCTGATATTTTTCGTCCCCACAGGTTTTACTTCCACTCCCTAGGAAGGAGTCCTCCCTGAAGGCAAGAATGGAAAAGCAAGGACTGTTCCTACAGTCCCTGTTCCTCATGCAGACAGAAATGGCGTTTTTCCTTGAAGAAAACAGGCTGAAATCCGGCCCGAAGCTTTAAGTGGGAGGAAAGCGCTCTCTCCGGGTGGGCTGCCCTCGGAGGGGCTGTATTCTCTGAACTCCCCCCGCGCCCCGGCCTTGGCCTTCGCTGGAGAGGCCAGGACGGGCTGGGCCCGGACGGACTGGGGAGGGGGCAGGACGGGTGCGCAGGACGGGCGGGCGGGGCCAGGACGGGCGGGGGTGGGGCCAGGACGGGCGGGCGGGGCCCGGCAGCTGCTCTCTGCCGGTGGTCACAACAGATTTCACCAGTCACCTTCAGCCCCTGGGATCGTCTCCTCCTGCTCAGCTGACTGTAAGAAAGTACCATTGACTGAGTGGCTTGCAAACAACAGACCTTTATGTCTCACAGCTCTGGAGGCTGGGAGTCCGAGATTAGGGTGTCAGCATGGCTGGGCTCTGAGGAGGGCTCTCTTCTGGGTGGGAGACTGTATCCTTCTCTGTGTATCCTCAGGGAAAGAGGACGAGGGAACTCTCCGGGGTCTCTTTTATAAGAGCGCGGGTCCCATCATGTCATGACCTGATCGCCTCCCAGAGATTCCCCCTCCTCATCGCGTCATGTTGGGGGTTAGGATTGCAATATATGAATTCGGGGGAGACACAGTCTATAACAGTGCCTGGGGGTCTAAGGGCTGAGATTCTGAATCAGAGTTGCCCCAGCCCCTGGTGGAGATGAGGCGAAGGGTGACTGAGCAGTGGAGGGTGCCACAGCCAGCCTGGATGTGAAGTGGCTCCGTTTCTCTCTCTGGAGCGGGTGCGCCAGTCCCGCCCCCCCCCCACGCCACGCCCTGAGTCCCTTTAGCCTTCCAGCACCGTGGTTCTGGCAGCCAGGGTATCGGGCAGGACAGCGACCATGCCTGGCTCCACTCCATGACACAAGGAGCGCTCACAGCTGGGCTGTCTCTTCCTGTGCAGGTCACAAGGGGGACCTGGCAACCGAGTGTGAGTGGATCGGTCCAAATCCCTCTCCACACCTGTCAGGACTTGGGTCCTGTGACAGGAGCATTCCAAATCCCAGGGGACTCAAGCTGGAAGGCACATCACAGAGTCTGCAAGCCCTTTTAAGTTACAGACAGGGACGCCAAGACCCACAGGGAAGAAGCAACAAGATCACACAGCCACGGGTCAGCACACTCTCCTATGGGTGTGGGGAGTCCTGCGTGGTGCATTTGGGACTGTTGTAGTTGTGAGTCAACGCAGGTTTCTTCAAGGTCAAGGTCTGACGGAGGAAAAAGCATGTGTGAACGTGAATTTTGTATTTGAGTGTGAAAGTGTATGTGGTGCCATGGATGTTTAGCACATGTCAGTAGGTATGTAACAAGTGATCCCATTTTGTGTGTCGCTTGGGTGGTGGTCACAGCAAGCATGCACGGTATAGAGAGTGCTCTGTGCTGAATTGTGTTCCTTCAAATTACTATGTTGAAGTCCTAAGCCCTGGCACCTCGAAATGTCACTATTTGGAGACAGGCCCCTTAAAAGAGGTGATTAAGGTAAAATGAGGCCATCGGGGAGGGCCCTAATCCAAGATGACTGTGTCCTTATAAGAAGATATTAGGACACACACAGAGGGAAGACCTTGTAAAGACATACGGAGAAGGCAGCCACGCACGAGCCCAGGACAGAGGCCTCGGGAGACACCAAACCCGCTGACACCTTGATTGTGGACCCTCCAGCCTCCAGAACTGTGAGAAAACAAAATTCTGTTGCTTCAGCTCTGCAGGGCTGTGCTATTTGTTACAGCGGCCGAGCAGACTAATGCAGAGCGCGAGCCTGAGGGACAGACACAGTGCCGTGGATGGGGACTGGAGCTGGGCATCTGCCCAGAGAAGGTCTGCACCCCTCCCTCACAGCACCTTGTGCCATCTGCAGGAAGGGAGGCGCGCTTGAGCAGGTTGAAAGGAAAGCAACCAAAATGGTGAAGGCTTTCAAAATCCTGTCACATGAGGACGAGATGGAGTTACTGGAGATATTCACCTGAAGAAGAAAAGCCTCAGAGAGGGTCAGGGACAGCCTGCAGAATGGATGAGAGCCTGGTCTCCTAAGCCACCTGCCATTTGCTAGCTGTGTGACCGGGGGCAGGTCATTCAACCTCTCTGTGCCTCGGTTTCCTCATTGGAAAGTGGTGATGATAGCTGTACCTACTTCCTCGTGTTGTAAGGGTTAAATGAGTGGATATCTGTAACATGTTTAGAACCGAACCTGGCACGCAATGGACGCTACGTGAGCATTTGGCCCGCTCTGTGCTCCATCACGAAACTGCAACAGAGCTAAGTGGGAGGGAGACGCAGGGCTGAGAAGGAGAGCCCACGGGGGAATCCGACAGGAGACCAGAAATAAAAGGAGGTCAATCCAAGGAAAGGAAGAATGTTCCAATAACCAGAACTGTGTGAAGACATGCCAGCTTGCGTGGGGGACAGCAAGCCTCCCGTTGCAGGAAGCGTGGGGGGCAGAGGTCAGCTGACCCTTGGCGGGACTCATGCTCTGGGGAGGAGACCCGACGAGCATTCCTGGGCCCTCTCCCCCAGAGGGCTTACCTTGCCCAAACCGCGCTGTCCGGTACACCTCCTCCACGCCGCGGAAGCCCAGCATGCGGCACACCACGTCGCCGTCCTTCTTGTCCCAGCCGTCGTCACACACGGTGCCCCATCGCCGCTCGTGGTACACCTCCACGCGACCTTCGTGCGGCCCGGAGCCGTTCACCAGCCGAATCATCACGGCATCCACGCCACCTGCTGGGAACAGCCCGGGGCACCGCTGAGCTCTGGGCACGCCCGCACCCCCAGCCCCCACGGGGGACCTGCCCCCTACCCCACCCCCGCATGGGGCAGAGGGGACCCAGACCATGACCTGCAGAAACCCTGGGGTCTCACCCCTGCCCTTGATCAGTCTGCTTCTCTCTACCTTTTTTTTTTCTTTTAATAAACTTCATTTTGGGGGGCACCCGAGTGGCTCAGTCGGTTAAGCGTCCAACTCTGGGTTTTGGCTCAGGTCATGATCTCAGGGGTGGTGAGATGGAGCCCTGCATGGAGCTATGTGATCAGCGCAGAGTCTGCTTGATATTCTTTCCCTCTCCCCTTCCCTCCCCTTCTGCCCCTGTCCCTGCTCTGGCTGGTGTGCAAGCTCTCTCTCAAATAAAAAAACAAACAAACAAACAAACAAACAAACAAATAACAGCTTAAAAAAAAGATAGACTTCATTTTTTCAGAACCGTTTTAAGTTCACAGAAAAATTTCCCGTAGCCCCTTTGCCCCTACACAAACACAGCCTCCCCCACTGTTAAGAGCCCACGGCGGAATGAACCTACACTGACACGTCATTATCACCGAGTCCACCGTCTACCTTAGGATTCCTTCTTGGTGTACATTCAGTGGGTTTGGACAAATGTCTAATGACATGTATCCACCATTATAGTATCCTACAGAGTAGTTTTGGTTTTTTTTTTTAAAGATTTTATTTATTTATTTGAGACAGAGAGAATGAGAGAGAGAGAGCACATGAGAGAGGGGAGGGTCAGAGGGAGAAGCAGACTCCCTGCCGAGCAGGGAGCCCGATGCGGGACTCGATCCAGGGACTCCAGGATCATGACCTGAGCCGAAGGCAG